GTGATATATACACAATTATCTGATTGTTGTAATAACTAGAAATTACCCGTTTGTTTCATTTTTACCAGTGAATACAACAGACTAAATCGTTAAGTTATCATTTTAGTGCATTGCTCAAGAATTCGTTTTGGAGGTTTATTCTGAACGTACCTCTTTGTTCCATTTGATTATGTTTGCTGCTACATTTGTACGCTATAACTATGGAACTTATTTACTAATATTCTGTTGAACTTATAATGTAAAAACGGGAGCTGTGGTTGGGGCGAGGACCTGATCTGAGAGTTTAATGAGGACTAGAACAGACCCTTTCCTGGATCAATGGCTTTGGCCAGCCATGGCAAGAACTATGCTTGCACTTTTATGCCTACTCAGGACCAAGAGAATGAAAAATGGTTATGGGAAACATCAGCAGGTGCAACAACTCGACTCCTACTGACCATCTCTCGTGTGTAGAAGCATAGGCAGCAAGGTATGGATAGCAATGGCCAATATTCGAATCATGAGAGATGTAGTGTCTCTGTCAGACACCTGAGCATTCAATGACAGGGACAAGCAGACATCACCAAGTACTGGTCAGAGTCACCAGAGGGTATCACGAAATTTGGTGGATGGAGTCTACCAGGAAGAGTCATGGCACTATCAGATGGAGAAATTAACATATTACAGTGATCTACTAGATTCTCAGGGCAGGCTGGCAAGATACAATAAACTTCTTGGTACAACATCCCACAGCTAACGTGAAAGCAGAATACAATGACATTGTGTACTCATCCACATCAGTCTACTGTTGACCTCACCAAAGGATATGAGTTCAGGATATGCATGTTTCTAGACACATGGAAGATGAGAAGGGTCTCTCTCAATCATTGATGATATTTCAGCCACACAGTAGTGGACATATTAACAGCAGGTCAGTTGCTGCACTGCTGTTTCTCAATGGTGTTGGTGTAAATTACATTAATGTATTGAAGTTTAAAGGGATGAAAAAAATGTTGGTCCATTTCCTCAAATGTTTCAAGTAAGTTGTCTCCTGGAATAGTTGTGCTCATGGAGAGGTAATGCCATGTCTGATGCTCAGTTTGGATGCTTCAATTATTAATATTCATGAGCACTTAGATAATGATAAACCAATAACTGAAACATGGTTGACTCTGATGTGCCACAGATTCAACCCAGTAGAAAACTGAGTAAACTTTATATATTAGGCTTAGTTCAGTGAATGAAAGCATGCATCTATGAGAACTTGACCTATTAGACAACCTGGGAGACAGCGTGGAAATGTTTTTCTGAGCAATGCACCCGTGGAACATAAGGGAGCACTTATCGACAAGTTAATTAAAGGGCTATCTAGCAAATATATGCAGCACCAAATGGTTACAGGGTTATTTCTTTTCTAATCAAAGCTGTTTCTGTAGTGACACAGATCTAGGTGGTTACATTGAACTGTATGCTGGAGTCAAAGAAGAGGCTGCTAACAGTAGTTATTATGGCTGGCTCTGCTTCTGATCAGTTTCAAGGATCAGCAAAGACAGCCAAGTTTTTAATAAGTATTTACTGATAGTTCTGCTGTCACAGATGCGGTAGGATGTGATGCAGCAATTGTGGTTCCCTATATGTTTCTAGGGGACACTAAAGCAATTATAATTTTACTTAATGTTGCTGTGTATTATGCGCTCTGAGTGAAGCCATTACGTTAGGTTCAACACAAACGTTAACAAACAATGGCTATATGTAAACAGAGAGTTTCATATCTGACTTTGACTAAATACGGGACACAGATAAGGCCCTATTGTTAAAGACTGTTAGATAGATGCATGCTTAGTTTGTGAACCTTGAATGGATCAAACGAGATGAGCACATACCTTATGTCATGGTAGCATACCATGCAAGTCACAACAATCACTTAATTGTTCTCTGAAATTTTTAATGTTTAGAGGAGAAGTACAGATCATAGTAGAATTGACATACAGATCACCACCCAGAGCAGATGTGTTATAGTGTCCACAACAATTCGTGAGCTGGCTGCATTCTGAAATAGCTGGTGCACATGAATTTAGGCATTACTAGTTAATTAAACTGCTAGCTATGAATCAAGAAATGTTACAACTAACTATACCACGTGCCAGATGTTGTGCACACCATGCAACATTCACAGAATGTTACAGTTATGCTTTATTTTACTGTATGATACGTAGAACCCAATTTTTTCTGCGTGTTTCAGTTGCTCTTTCCAAAGTTTCTGGTTATTCTTTTGTGGTGTTCATGCATAAGCAGAATTGTCACCACTCTTATGGTTTATTATCGCTACTGCTGTAACACCTTTGATCATTACTTGACGTTAAACATATGTACACTCAAAATATTGACATACTCTATATGCAGTTGTCAAGATAATCCATCAGAATTTACACGGTGCTGACCCAGATGGCCGTGTACTTTTCCAGTGTCATTATCCTGATTTTGAAGTCTCATAGTCAATTTCAGAGATTCATGGTTTCTTCAAATATTGAACCTTCTAATTTTGAAATGGTACAGTAATATAAAGGGTTGAGTATAATATATTAAAATGATTTTAAATATGCAAATCAGCAAGTAAGTATAAAGTTATGGTGCAAGAACATATACCAGAACTACATTTAGACACTGACAGTTTGTAGTTAATGTGACGCCACCAAAAACTGATTGCTTTTGGTAAAGGTGTACAACAGCCTTTTCGTACATAAAATATTCATACTACACTCAGATAATATATGTGTGTTCAGATTGGGGACTTGGAAATTGTAAGACGAGAATATTCATTGCATTTAATGGCATTGTAAAACAATGAAATCTGGATTAACTTGAGCCAGGGCCCCCCAGTGATCCAGCGGTATGTTTGCGGACTTACAACGCTAAAATCTGGGTTTAGATATTCGTGGTGGACAGAGCGCAGATAGTACATTGTATAGCTTTGCGCTTAACTGCAAACAAAGCCATCCAGAAAGAGACCTACAACAGCATGAAACATAATTAAGAGGGATCTCCACCTGGAAACGAAGCTCGAAAGGTATGGGTTTACCATGATAAGGCTTCTAGTCATACCTCCCATTCAACCTTTAGTTACCATGTAGTATAATGTAAATGATCCTTAGTTTACAATATCGTAAGAGATCATTACTTCGGCCTTAGTTTACCATGTAGTATAAGTGATCCTTTATTAATTATCATTTCTGAACAATCCTGTAATTAAGTAAAGGCTGATCAATAGGGTCTTAACATTGACAAGCAAGATCAATCTGGTACCGATGGTATATTTTGAAAAAAAAAGTGATGATAATGTCCTAAGGCAACGTTTCCCGAAGTGTAGGGCAGAACCCCAGGGGGCGCAACTAGTCTCTTGGGGGGGGGGAGGCGAGCGATTAGGGTAGAGTTAATAGTGTAATATTAAGCGTTTTAATATACTTTTTATTGATGAAAATAGTTAATCGTTACTACAACATATATAGCATTTTAACGTGTATCCATAAATTACATCTCGTCACTTAACTCGCTTTTTGACTGGTTTAAAAAAAGGAGGAGGGGGGGGGGCTGTGCAAGAAACCATATTTATTAAAGGAGGGGCGTGGATGACAAAAGTTTGGGAAACGCTGTCCTAATGTATATTCGACTACTTATTAGAAATTTCTGTCTCCAGGAAATTTATAGTACATGATGGGATAAAAGTCTGGTGATCGCCCCGGATACTCCATTCAATCAACTCACTTTTCTTCTAACAAGGTTTTATTATGGTTGGGGACAAATATATCAATCCACACTATGTGAGAATACGAATCCGTAGTTACAAATAACTTTCAACACTACTGGGCAATTACTCGATATACTTATGAACTTGTAGTTGTTAGAAAATAATATAATTAACCAAATCCAAAAACAATGCTACAGTTCTAGATAGCAGAAGAAATGTACACGAAGAAGAAGCTTGTTGCAACTTCAATCACTTCTTTCCTCTTTTCTTTTCTGTTATTCCATGATCAGTGAAAAATTTATTTGACGTATTCGATATAGATTAAGTTCTTGTCTTTTTGTGTGTTGTGAGTTTTTATTTTGTTTTTGAGCAACAGAGGGGAAAATGTTTGATACAAAGTTCGTTGAAAGCAGAAAAAAACCCAAAAAAACTGCCGAATGGTTCCATACGATTCATACATTCTTACACAATTACCACATTATGGTTATGAATTAGTTGTCACAATTAATTTTAAGTTTGTTTGTTTTTCAATTTCGCGCAAAGCTACACGAGGGCTATCTGCGCTAGCCGTCCCAAGTTTAGCAGTGTAAGACTAGAGGGAAGGCAGCTAATCATTACCACCCACCGCCAACTCTTGGGCTACTCTTTTACCAACGAATAGTGGGATTGACCGTCACATTATAACACCCCCACGGCTGAGAGGACGGGCATGTTTGGTGGGACGGGGATTCGAACCCGCAACCCTCAGATTGCGAGTCGAGCGCCCTAACCACCTGTCCATGCCGGGCCTTTAATTTTAAGTAACTTTATAGATGCCTTACATACTGATCTGTACATGTATTAAATAAAACAACAGATAGATCTATAATCGAGATAATTTATTATTAGTAACAACAGAAGAATCAAACCATATAACAAGATAACAAAATCAACAAAAAGAAACTGGCCGATTCTGCGTAAATATATCTAAATAAATGTTTTAGTAATTAACAGTAAATAAGCGTATACAATTATAAATACAAACACTGAAAAAATAAATGTTTTTAATATTTAGAACTTAATATTTTGAAACAACAAAACACTAGAGGCAATAACTGTCTTTTTTTCTTCAAGAATATTTTCATTTAAGAATAACAATTCACCAATAATAATAATAACAATGAAATTGAACGTTTCTATTTTTATCCCTGAAATGTGTCTGTTTCTATTACATTTTTTATTGAAACTTCTCAATTTTCATTCTGGAAAAGTAACGTGTATCCGTTCTCATATATTGTTACAGAAAAGTTTGATAATTTAAACATATTCAAGATGTAGATTCCAGATTTGTAAAACCGGATTTAAAGGTCTAGATTTGAAGTTTTAAACTACAACATTTACATTTCTTAAGGACCTAGATCTCATATTTCAATTCAGTTGATTTACAAGTCTTCAATTGAGGCTTTATTAAATAGTGGGTTCAAGGCTGAAATCTCAGACTTTAGTACCATAATAGCTAGGTTTGGAGATTCGAAACTTAAAATATCACGTTAATAAGTCTTCCTAACAGACGGCTGATAATTTAACTTTCAGCTTTAATTTTTTATAGATTTTATATATTTCAATAGCAGATTTACGAGTTTTTGAGGTGTACATTTGAGGCTTCAAGTACAGGTTGACATGATTTAAGACCGAGAACAGGAGAGTTTGTGTTTTCAAAACCTTGATTCAATAACGCTTTAAATACCAAGTGCGTGCGTGTGTGTCTATAAATACATATATATATATAAAGTATCTTTAAAGCCTGTTTCCGAATGGTGAACTAACAATTTCGCATAATTATCAGATCTAGATTTATATCTTTAAAATTCTGGTTTACATGTATACATGGCATTAAATACCTAAATAATACGTGGTTTCAAATTTAAGACTTACGCTTCTTTGAGCTCAACATAATGGCTTATATTCCACCTGGAATTATGAGTTCGAATATATGACTTATGTTTTCCCATTTTAAGTCAAAAGATTTCACATGATGATTCTGTATATCTTCAAAGTTTAGGCTAGAAATTTGAAACACTAGAGTAAGAAACTGTCAATACTATATTTGCATTTCATCAAGGTTTAATATGAGGCTTTCATTGCTAGGTTTACCTGTCTTCAAGGTCTTACCCGAGTGAAAGTTAATTATTTATATTGAAATAAAATTGTGCACATTATTTTATTAACTATTAAAGGTTGTTATTCAGTTAACAATAAAAAAAGAAGAAACGAAATTAGATTTTGTTTGAAAATACGATCTTCCAGAGCGCAGTGCTGTAGTATTACTGTGTTGGATGAGTTTTCTAACCATTCGAAATAAGCACTTCAAGTTAGATGTTTTAAATATAATTGTCTTAAGCAGCTTATATAATTAAATTTAACCCCGCTGTTTACGTGGTTCCGCTAGTAAACGGTAGATGACGCAAGTGGTTAAGATAACGTTTATAATCCTTTCAATCCACACGAACAAACAAGCTATATCCAAATCTTACGTAAATAGCTAATGTAAACGTAGAGATAAATCTTTGAAAAAACGTGTAAACGACTATAAATCACGATCATCAAATCACTTGACTAGATTAAAGAAAAAAAATCATTCTGCTACAAAGCTAACTACCAATACCATGTTCCTTAATTATTTATACATTTTAACAGTGAGGAATTCTGGCACTCAAACTTACAAAAAGATTAATCCATTTTTCAGCCTGAACTTAAAAACAAAAAGGGAAGATTACTGATCACTTGTTAAAAATAACAGCTATCATAGTTTTTAAAAATCATACGATTTTGGTTGTCGGTAGAATTATTTTTGAACCTAACGCATACAAAAATGTGTCTAATTTGACATATTAGAATTTATAGAGAATACAAAGTTTCAAACAAAAATAGATACATGAAAACGGCGGTTTTCAGATCTTAAACCATTGTCATAAACAGAAATACAGATGATTCTCCGACTTTTTAATAATAATAATAAAGCATTCCGATTAGATGAATTAGAATTACTTTCAGTTAGAACAGCCGTTCTTCCGTTAAGGCGCGTTCGAAGTTCATTGCAAAAAGTTTGAAGAAAACTTTATGCCCTAAAAATAAAACCGCATTGTATAGATACATATTCACGCCATTTTCCAATTATATACTCTGGTAACCAATGGAGACTGTCGTTGTGACAGTCCGAGTTTACTTGTAAATAATTCTCTTAGTCCTGTTGTCGGGTGACGTGAAAACAAGGTGCTCTCAACAACAATGAAAATTAACTATTAATACAAAAAGTATACAAATTGAATAATAATAATAATAATGAAAAAAGTTAAGAACAAAAATGCATACAATAACATAATTATTTGACTTCGTCAAAATAAAGGATTTTTGCCATAGTAATGTTTAGGGCAGCTGTCAGCTTTGACTACTTCGGTAACGGTTATTTGTTAAGCAGTCAAGCCTGACGAAAGACGTTCACCCGAAACGCAGTCATTATTAAACATTACTCATAATTGACGGAAAGCGTTTCGCTTAAATCGTTACTATGATCAAAAAGTTCATATTTTGACACGTATACTCCATATTGTTTACACACGTTATTTTTTGTGTGTGTTTTTTTTGTCAAAGGGGCAGAGTAAATGTGATTTTGACATAAGAAAACACACACATAAAAAGAAGAAAAAGAAAAATCGTGTTTTGATTAGAATGTAAGCGTAGCAAAACAGTAACCCCCCCCCAAAAAAAAGTTGTATACGCAAAAGTCTGAATTAGTGAAAGAATGTGCTGGCCAAATCAAATTCAGTAGATCAGGGTTTAATTGAAACAGATATCGTACTTGTCAATAAATAACTACCAATATTTCTATGAATTTTATTTCTAGTTGGCAGATAATAGCTTGAATATTTTAGGGCAAGACTTATAGGAGTGAAAATCTGACCAACAGATATCCGTAACCTAAACGAAGATCACACAGCTAGTAACGAGTTCAATCCACACAATGTACACAGAGAAAATCATATTAAGTAGACCAGTTCACCATTAGAATTCTTGGGTTTTCTATGTATTATCACTTGTATAGGTTTTGTTTATATTTTCACGACCCGATAATTTAAATATTAATACAGTTTTGTCGAATTTGTCCTTACCGAAAAATAAATATATCTTATTGCTCATTATATTTTTAATCGTAATTAAAAACAAACAAATGAAATTTGATTTCGTGTTTGAAAATATCTACGAATCAGTCACATTTTATGAGTTAAGATGCAAGTAACATCGAGATTTGTGTAAAACCTCACATCAAGCAGGAGGCAAATTTTAAAGTTCTTCTAATGGTGAAATCGTCAATTAGTTTTACATAATTTTCTGGAAAACAATACTTATGCACAACCATAAAGAAATGTCCTTCCTGCAAAAACACGACACACGTTCCGAGACAATAACTTGATCTAGTGATCTTTTACTAATGTAACAAATCTGATTTCAATCATCTACAAATTCCCAACATTTCCAGATCCTTGATGGTTAAACGCATCTTTGACCGCACATTCTGGGCCTGTTCTGTCAATCCTGCGCAGATCTGTCTTAGTTTCGGCTCGAACATGTTCACTTCTTTGTGAATTAGACCTGAAAGAATGGACATTTTTTTATAGTGTCGTCACATAAATACTACTTAAAACATATATGTTCAACCGCCTCGCGGATAAAGACTGAAATTATGGGGATTTTTCATAGCGCCGTCACATAAATACTGCTTAAAACATACTTGCTCAAAACGTGGCGAAACTTCTAGGACTATCGTGGAGGAAATTAGTGTTGGTCGAAAGTAAATTAAATAGTTTCATAGTTTTGTGATCATTTTTGTAAAATTAATTTTTTTTATATAAATATCTTTATTGAATCTTATCACAAATTTCATCAAAAGCTACACAATTTCATAATCTGATAGTGGCTACATGATTCAGCAACATTCATGTAGGGTTTAAAACTATAGTTTACTATGTATTTTGGGTTGTGAATCAGTAGCCTATTAATATTATGACGTCATTGTTTATTTGCAATTAAGCGCAAAAGTACACAAGCTGTACCACCAGGAATATCGAAACCAGGTTTTAGCGTTATAAGGCTTCACACTTACCACTGAGCCACATAACGATGTCGCTACCATTGAGAGTCCAAATTGGTCTCATATTTTTAATGAAGGTGACTCACAATCTGAAAAGGTATGTGAAAATATATCCAAGAGTTATGCTTCAGTCATCTTCGGATTCTACTTTTGGAAAGCTTTGATTAACTGGGTCGAGATACAAGTTTAGTGTTGCGCTACGATAATAAAACATCTAGATCCTCGGTATCTGCTGATCGCTCTGCTGGAAATAATGTATAACGATTATTCAAAAGACTTCCATTACACTCTTTCTTCGAGTGTTTCAACAGAAATTCAATTTAGTCTGCAGTACTGTTATATGCACTATTGACTTTATGGTTGAATTTAATTTCGCCATGCTAAACTATTTGTGCAGTTCTAAACCAAATGACCATTTCCCGTTACTCTAGTACAAATAGAATTTCGTTAAAAAATTTAGGTTCCCCAAGTAGCACAGCGGTATGTCTGCGGACTTACAACGCTAGAAACCGGGTTTCGATACTTTTGGTGGGCAGAGCACAGATAGCCCAAAGTGTAGCCTTGTGCTTAACTTCAAACAAACAATTCCCGTTACTTTCCGCTTTGTTCAAGAAAACAGAAAGTGCAACTGTGAATTTAAAACTAGATTAGAATTTGTGCAGCACATTCGTCCCACACCGTTAAGGTGTTAATGAAAAGATTAGGAAAGCACGATGATATTCTTTAGTGCAGGTTTCTTTATGTATCTCTACAATTCGTGTTGTTGTTGTTCTTGTCCGAGTGGGGTGCCAAATAATGGCAAAACTCCAAGGAAAAGGCCCAACTACGAGTTGCTTGTAATGATGGGATGTTGGAGAAGATCTTTACTCAAGAAGAACGCGTCTCACAGATGTTTTCCCATCTACTGTTACGAACAAATACCCAACATGAAGAAATGCTTTGGTAAGGCGTTCAAAGGTAATAGAGGTTTTTCCCTCTGCTCTGTAAAGCAAACAAAATCAACATACACAAATAGGCCTATAAAGGATTCAAATTGTTAAGTACGACTTGTTATGCCATACAAATTAATAAGTTTTACATTTAATGAAAGGAGAAACTGTAAGAGGAGCAAAGTTAGCGCTATGTAACACAGGCTTCAAGTTAAAACCAAAGGAAAACAAAACTCAACGAATTTGTAAGACGTTGCTATACAACAGATTCATGAGGGCCCATAATTCTTGGTACACGAACAACTTAGATGATTAAGTTTGTTCTGAAACTTGAAATGTTATTTCATTTATTCAATAACTATTATAAACACATACACAAAATGCAACTGATTGGAAACACATGAATATAAATCTATGATTAATTTTATTCTCCTGGGTATTCTAAAGTAAGCTACCTGGAAATTAAATTAAAACTAGCTTATGTAAATTTTAAAAGATATGACTATTAGCCATAGTTTTGCTCAATGTTGCTTAGTTAGATCACGATTAAATATATATATATATATATATATATATATATGTGTATTTAAACTTTTTAATGCTAGGCCTTCTTAATTTAGTACCAAGTTAACAAAAATTAACAGTACCTTACCTAAGAAAAACACATCTTCGATATTTCTCATCATAGCAATCAGTTTTTTAGGTTTCTTTATTATATTTCTGACATAGATGAATTGGTTTTCATTTTGAAAAAAAAAATTCTTATTTTGTTCATTGACTAGCTGAAATACCCATCTCTTGGACGGATGTTATGTAAATTCATTACTAATGAAAGGTTATCTTAGGACATGAAAAGTTGCTTCCCTTATACGTAATTGTAAAAAACGCCCATAAAACTGCAAAACACAAAATGTGAAACCGCATCTTTGCATGTATCTCCTCATGGACCCAACAAACCTTCATGCCAAATCTGGTGAAGATCCATCAACAGGGGACGAAGTAGTGGCAAAAACGCCCATTAAAAACGGCAAAACTGAAAATTTGCATGTATCTCCCCATGGACCCAACAAACTTTTATACCAAATTTGGTAAAGGCCCATCAACAAGTGGCGAAGTAGTGGTAAAAAATGCAAAAATACCCATAAAAACCGCAAAACTGAACATATGTATGTATATCCCCATGGACCCAACGAGCCTTCATACTAAATTTAGTGAATATCCATCTACAGGGGATGAAGTAGTGGTAAAAAA